AAATTTAGATTGCAGTGCCAAAAATATTAAAAAGCACCGGTGTGTTTAAATACAAAATAAATAATATTATTTAGAATTTTAATGCTGTACAGGGGAGGAAGTCTAGGTAGCCCTGTAAGACTATTCTTCTCGAGTAAGTCAAAAGGTCCCAAACCATTTAGTTACATTACATAATATGAAACTACATACAGGGGCCAGGCCACCACAAAAATATTCATCATACCTTGCCTCCAAGATAGTTAAATTATTCTTATTCAAACCAAAGCAAAGCTAACAAAATTATCAAATTATAATACACATAACATATTGCATAAACCTTTAACACAAACACAGAAGTTGTTTAATAATCTAATTAGGTCTTAAAATCTCCTTTACAACTTCTACTTATCGACCATATTATCTAAATGTATTATAATTATTTATAAAAGTAAKTTAATTTATCGCCATACATTTTATGGTATAAAATAATTTAGGTTTAATATGAATAGACATCATACAATTATTACCTAACCAAATATAGTTTGATAATGTATATTAATAATATTATATAATCTTCRAGACATAATTAATTAAGATATACATGTGTAATAGTTGATAAATATTTCCTTTACTTTTGTATACATTATTAGGTGGTGATGAGTGTCGCACAGTTATATCATCATTTAGCTCCTAAATCAGAGGTTAATGTAATTGCTAAAGCATTAATCCGCTTGTTAAGAAGTCATAGAGAAGTTCAATCAGTTGTACTGAATTCCATCGCATCTATTTCAATAACTAGAAAGGTATTTATTTTTGACAAAATTAGTAAAATACTTTGTTATTTACAAACTTTATATTTTCAGAATATGTTTGAACCATATTTAAAAAGTTTTTTTGTCAGATCAAATGATCCTACACACATAAAATTATTAAAACTCGACATCATGACAAATTTGGCAAATGAAACAAGTATATCGACAATACTTAGAGAAGTTCAAACATACATTTCTAGCACAGATAAACAGTTTGTTGCTGCTGCTATCCAAGCTATTGGAAGGTAAATTGTATATTATAAGAATAAAGTATTATGTAATTTTGTAACAGACTGGTAGTTTTATATTATATATATTCATATTCAGAAATTAGCAATTAGCTTTATTGTATTTCAGATTTTAGCTGTTTTGCTTACTTATTATAGTATTAAAACAAAGTCTACATACATTTTATAAAATATTTATAACAGTACCTATAAAATTTAGTGGATGTTAAATTGAATGGTTTTAGGGTAGTTCATAATATGAATTAAAGAAAATCAGGGAACTCACTAGGCTGTATAGTATGCCAATAATGTACCTACCACACATCATTGGCTAGGTCACTATAATAGTTGTGTTAAATTTTAACACAATGATAAGTTATTGTAAAGGATAAAATCATAATGTCAGTTTATAATATTATCTGATTATTTTGCTATATTATATTTATAAATGGTATTGTTATTTGTTATAAAATATAAGTGATATAGGTACCCTAACCTAGGAATTAATTTTTGTCAAATGAATTATGCTTATTATATTAATAACTGTTATTAACTTAAATAACAAAAGTAAATACTATAGATTGGTATAACATATAAATAGCTAAAATGAATCTACAATCTACATTATTTGAAACTTTAACTGTGTATATAGTATATAATAATATATGCGATGAACAGATATCTATGACTCATGTTTTTGATTTACAATAAAACAATTTAAATCGTTATTTATTGTTGAAATATCCTGTCATATAAATTTGAACTTTAATCGCTAATAAATATGACTGTGGTTACTTTAAAATTATTTACATTTTTTTATATTTTGACGAATTCCATAGATGTTTTAGCGCTAACGCTTATATAAAATAGTGATTAAGAATTTTTGATTCTATTAATTGTTATATTATAAACAGTTTTGGAGAAATCTAGTTTTGATGTTCATACTTTTTTACTTACAAACATAAACATTTTCATTTATAAATAGAAATTTAAAAAAAGGCTTATAGGTATTTCAAATGTCTACAAATAGCACAAAAAAGAAATATTTTGAAAGTTAWAATACCYATACCTAAGGAATACTTTTTTTTTATTAATTGAAACAATATTTTATTTATATACAATCTGTATTTATATGTTGTACAATAAGCAAATTTGATGAGATTTGATTGACGGGAAAGGGAAGTCGACCAATGATGGCGTGAAAATTTAAAGTAAACACGGTTAATAATTTTGAATTGCAACAATTAAAGAATATATATTTAGATTTTTGACTGTTTATTACTACATAATATGTTCAGTGTGCTGATCTATTAGCTAATAGCTGAACCTATTGATAATAATATGATCTTATGGGATAATCATCAAAACCCTATAGCGAAATTCAATGTAATTTTATTTTTTACGTTTATAATTTTATATCACAACATAACTTGACGAAAAGGAAATAATAAGTTTATTGATAAAAAATATGGAGACATTGTTCGAGCATTGTTTCCAGTTGATTTAATAAGAGTAAAAACAATAATTAAAAAAGAGGTCAAGGAAAAATAATGATTGGCATAAAAAAATCAAACAAAAGTATAAATATAATAAAAATTTAGAAAAATATACTAGACATTTTTATACGTTTTTATTACTTTAGAAAACCCGTGAGTTAATTTGTATCAAATACACTTAAATCGAATTAAATAACCTAAACATTTTGTATGCTGTRGATTTATTTGTAATATTATTTTAGTTTAGGAATTTGACCAAATTTATAGCTTAACCTAGGATATAGATAATAATTTGTTAATCTTATTATTTTAGTGGAATTTACCGCTTTGTTTTCCGTTTATTTCACCCACTTGTTAACTTCCTCCAGTATATATATATTTCTAACGAAGGCGACTGCATTGAACGATTGTGTTTGTAAATATTACGGTTTATATTATTATAATAATATGCTTTTTTTACTATTGTGATAGCCATTAACGACAAGAAATCACATTCTCTTACAATTTGTATACGCTCGATTAATCATTTTTCCGATTCCATTCGTGATCTCGATTTCCTATCCAAGAACATCGAACCTATCAACATGCATTAAATTTCTCTATTCTAATATATTGCAGCATTATCTAATAATTTGCTTTCAATTAAACAGCATTCCTTAAGCCTGCAAGGTACCTATACATTCTCCCCGAAATTAATTTCCTTGTAGATCAATCCACAATCCATATCAAATGTGAGGTAGTCAGTTATCTATAAAAAGTAATAATATTATGATTATAGCTTCAGTATAAGTTTATTGATAAATAATTAATGTCGATTAATTTTTCGAAATTTTTCGAAATATGT